AGCCAGAGTCAGGGTAGAGGCCAGCCACTCTCGTGTTATCAGTGTGGTCAGCCAGGGCATATGAAGAGGTATTGCCCGCAGTTGGGTGGCACACCTGGTGCATCTGGTTTGAGGCAGATTCAGAGTCAACAGCCAGCTCAGTCGGGTCAGGCCTCGAGGGCCAATCAGGGGACTTCATCGTCTCAGTCGGTGCAGCAATCTTATGCTCCTAGGGGTGAGCAGGTTGATCAGAGGTCATCTGGGCGCGTGTATGCTGTTACCACACAGGATCTTGTGCCGGCTTTAACCATCTATTGAATGCTATAGCTTTATTCAATGCTTATATTTGGTTTAGTATTTTTCTATTGGGCTGTGGCTCACCCTTTATGGGAACATCATTTTCAGGTTCAGGTGATAAGCTACCTCCACGGACTTAGCCTGGAAGGATTTGATGTTTGGGATTTTGAAGACTTGTCTTTAGTTATATGTTTTATTTTGTAATTTTTGGGATTTCATGTAAACATTCAAGCCTAGGGCTTAACTTGTAAATGAGTTAGTACTCATCCTTTTTGTGTCCAAGTGTTAGCTTGGAAAGATGTAAGCCCTTAGGGCATTTATTTTGATGTTGCAGGATGTGACAAGTAATGTCTTTCAATAAGAATACTCTGATGACTAACTCAAATGATTCGTTTTCTTTTATAAATGCATGTTAATGTCATGGCTATTATGGGTTTATTTTGAGGGTGTTACAGCCTAAACAAACACCGACTAATACATTTTTTAGTTGCCAAAAAGTTAACTTTTGCCGACTAAATTTGGTCGCCAAAAGTGTAAATTGTTGTAGTGAATGGGGCTGCGAACTACAGGGTTTCAACAATGTAGGGTTTTTGCTCCACAAATTCGATGTGAATTTGGCAACTAGAAGTGGAAATCCATCATTTCCATTTGTGAATGCAACGTTTCCAGTAGTGAATTGAACATTTTGACAGTGAATTGAGAAATCTTCCCATGTTTGTAGCGTGGAATTCGTCCATCAAGAAGGAAGGAGCATAAAAGTCTATAGTACGAATTGGCATGGTTTTGATAAACTCACAGTTGTAATTTCAACATCATGAGAAATTTACATTTGTCCCTTAACACATAACCCATGCGTTTTAAGCTTACTCCTTTATGTAATTTACAATGAAATGGGACTTTTGAATCTATAAGAAAGAATAGAGGACCAAATAGTTCATAAGATTACTATTTGGGATTCATTGGTGCATTACCCTTTATTTTCTAAAATAATTTTTAAATATTTAAAAATATTTTAATTTTTTTAAAATTTTAAAAAATTTTAGATCGCCCATATATATCTAAATCATAACAAATTATTTGGCCAATACTTAAAAAAATAACAAAATATTTTTTTTTTGAAAAATTAAAAAAAAAAATTCTTCAAAAATAGAATTAAAAAATACTTTTTGAACAAAATAAAAAATATTTTTTTTTGATTTTTTTTATATATAAAAAAAAATTACAGTTTTGAAAAAGTTCTGTTATGAGTTTTGAATAGAGTTTTTGAATTGAGTTTTGAAAACTTTATTTGTGTTAATGGCCCCGTTTAGTAGAGTTGTGGAAAAGTGATTATAACTTATAGCCTAACAGCTTATAGCTTATAGCTGTGAACATAAGCTGATTTTTGAGTTATAAATTAAGCTTCTCCTCCTCCACTCAAAGAATAAGTTGATTTTTTACTTACAAAAAGTTATAAGCTGTATTGTTAAGCTGAACCAAACACATCAAAATAGCTTAAATTAAGATAAAAACTAAAATAAGCCGGAAATAAGCCCTACCAAACAGGGCCAATATATATGTGGTATTCCTAGGTATATTAAGTATTGATTTCCTAGATATATGTAGGAATAACCATAATTAGGTTTTTTGTAGGATACTCTTTCTCATAATTAGATTTCTAGTAGGACATTCTTTCTCAGTCTATATATGCAAGCCTTCTATTGTATAGGATTAATACATTCAAAACAATATATATTCTTTC